GAAGCAGTGTGAGCATCAGTAGAGGAAAGTGTGAGTGTCAGTAGAGAAGTTGTGTGAGTGTCAGTCGAGGAGTAGTGTGATTGACAGTATAGGAGTAGTGCGAATGTCAGTAGAGGAGTAGTGTGAGTGTCAGTAGAGGAACAGAGTGACTTTCAGTAGAGGAGCAGTGTGAGTGCCAGTAGAGGAGCAGTGTGAGTGTCAGTAGAGGAGCAGTGTGAGTGTCAGTAGAGGAGCAGTGTGAGTGTCAGTAGAGGAGTAGTGTGAGTGTCAGTAGAGGAGCAGTGTGAGTGTCAGAGAAGCAGTGTGAATGCTGGGTAGAGGAGCAGTGTGGAGGCCAGCAGAGGAGCAGGAGTGTCAGTAGGGAGCAATGTGAGTGTCAGTAGAGGAGCAGTGGATGTCATGTAGAGAAGCAGGTGAGTGTCAGTAGAGGAGTAGTATGAGGCCACAGAGGGGCAGTGTGAGGTCAGTAGAGGAACAGTGTGAGTCTCAGTAGAGGAGTTGTGTGAGTGTCAGAAGAGGAGCAGTGTGAGTGTCAGTAGAGAAGCAGTGTGAGTGTCAGTAGAGGAGCAGTGTGAGTGTCAGTAGAGGAGCAGTGTGAGTGTCAGTAGAGAAGCAGTGTGAGTGTCAGTAGAGGAGTAGCGTGAGTGTCACTAGAGGAGTAGTGTGATTGTCAGTAGAGGAACAGTGTGAGTGTCAGTAGAGGAGCAGTGCGAGTGTCAGTAGAGAAGCAGTGTGAATGTCAGTAGCGGAGTAATGTGAGTGCCAGTTGATGAGTAGTGTGAGTGTCAGTAGAGGAGCAGTGTGAATGTCAATAGAGTAGTAGTGTGAGTGTCAGTAGAGGAGCAGTGTAAATGTCAGTAGAGGAGAGTAGAGGAGCATTGTGAGTGTCAGTAGAGGAGCAGTTTGAGTGTCATTAGAGGAACAGTGTGAGTGCCATTAGAGGAGCAGTGTAAGTGTCACTAGAGGAGTAGTGTGAGTTTCAATAGAGGAGCATTGTGAGTATTAGTAGAGGAGCAGTGTGAGTGTCAGTAGAGGAGCAGTGTGAGTGTCAGTAGAGAAGCAGTGTGAGTGTCAGTAGAGAAGCAGTGTGAGTGTCAGTAGAGGAGTAGTGTGAGTGTCAGAAGAAGAGCAGTGCTAGTGTCATCAGAGGAGTAGTGCGAGTGTCATTAGAGGAGCTGTGTGAGTGTCAGTAGAGGAGCAGTGTGAGTGTCAGTAGAGAAGCAGTGTGAGTGTCAGTAGAGGAGTAGCGTGAGTGTCAATAGAGGAGCAGTGTGATTGTCAGTAGAGGAACAGTGTGAGTCTCAGTAGAGGAGTAGTGTGAGTGTCAGTAGAGGAGCAGTGTGAGTGTCAGTGGGGGACAAGTGCCAGTAGAGGAGCAGGAGTAGAGGGAATGTGAGTGGCAGAGAAGCAGTGGAGAGTAGAGGAGCAGTGTGAGTAGAGAAGCAGTGTGAGTGTCTGTAGGAGGAGTAGTGGGAGTGTAGAGGGAGGTGTGTGGAGTGTCAGCGGAGGAGTAGTGTGAGTGCTCAGTAGAGGAGCAGTGTGAGTGTCAGTAGAGGAGCTGTGAGTGGTGAGCAGCAGTGTGAGGTGTTGTGGCGTAGTGTGAGTGCAGTAGAGGAGCAGTGTGAGTGTCAGTAGAGGAGGTGTCAGTAGAGGAGCAGTGTGGGAGGGCCGTAGAGGAGCTGTGTGTGTCAGTAGAGGAGCAGTGGAGTGTCAGTTGGTGGCGTAGTGTGAGTGTCAGTAGGGGTAGTGTGAGTGTCAGTAGAGACAGTGTGGGAGTGTCAGTAGAGGAGCAGTGTGAGTGTCAGTAGAGGAGCTGTGTGTGTCAGTAGAGCAGCAGTGTGAGTGTCAGTTGCGGCGTAGTGTGAGTGTCAGTAGAGGAGTAGTGTGAGTGTCAGTAGAGGAGTAGTGTGAGTGTCAGTAGAAGAGCAGTGTGAGTGTCGGTAGAGGAGCAGTGCGAGTGTCAGTAGAGAAGCAGTGTGAATGTCAGTAGCGGAGTAATGTGAGTGCCAGTTGATGAGTAGTGTGAGTGTCAGTAGAGGAGCAGTGTGAATGTCAATAGAGTAGTAGTGTGAGTGTCAGTGGAGGAGCAGTGTAAATGTCAGTAGAGGAGAGTAGAGGAGCATTGTGAGTGTCAGTAGAGGAGCAGTGTGACTGTCAGTGGAGGAACAGTGTGAGTGCCATTAGAGGAGCAGTGTAAGTGTCACTAGAGGAGTAGTGTGAGTTTCAGTAGGGGAGCATTGTGAGTATTAGTAGAGGAGCAGTGTGAGTGTCAGTAGAGGAGTAGTGTGAGTGTCAGTAGAGGAGCAGTGTGAGTGTCAGTAGAGGAGCAGTGTAAGTGTCAGTAGAGGAGCAGTGTGAGTGTCAGTAGAGGAGTAGTGTGAGTGTCATTAGAGGAGCTGTGTGAGTGTCAGTAGAGGAGTAGTGTGAGTGTCAGTAGAGGAGCAGTGTGATTGTCAGTAGAGGAGTAGTGTGAGTGTCAGTAGAGGAGCAGTGTGAGTGTCAGTAGAGGAACAGTGTGAGTGTCAGTAGAAGAGCAGTGTGAGTGTCAGTAGAGGAACAGTGTGAGTGTCAGTAGAAGAGCAGTGCTAGTGTCAATAGAGGAGCAGTGTGAGTGTCAGTAGAGAAGCAGTGTGAGTATCACTAGCGGCGCAGTGTGAGTGTCAGTAGAGGAACAGTGTGAGTGTCAGTAGAGGAGCAGTGTAAGTGTCATTAGAGGAGAGTAGAGGAGCATTGTTTGCGTGCAGTGTGAGTGTCAATGGGGGTAGTGTGTGAGTGTCAGTAGAGGACCAGTGTAAGTGTCAGTAGAGGAGAGTAGAGGAGCATTGTAGTGTCAGTAGAGGAGCAGTGTGAGTACCAGTATAGGAGAGTAGAGGGTATTGTGAGTGTCAGTAGAGGAGTAGTGTGTGAGTGCCAGTGGGGAGTAGTGTGAGTTGTCAATAGAGGTGCATCGTGGTGTCAGTGGGGAAGTGAGGGAGCATTGTGGTGTCAGTAGAGGCAGTGTGAGTGTCAGTAGAGGAAGCAAGTGGAGTGCCAGTAGATGAGTACTGTGAGTGTCAATACAGGACCAGTGTAAGTGTCAGTAGAGTAGCAGTGTGAGTGTCAGTAGAGGCAGTGTGAGTGTCAGTAGAGAGGAGCAGTGTGAGTGTGTCAGTAGAAGGAGCAGTGTAGTGTCAGTAGAGGAGCAGTGTGATTGTCGGTAGAGGAGCAGTGTGTGTGTGTCAGTAGAGGAGCAGTGTGAGTGTCAGTAAAGGTTCAATGTGAGTGTTAGTAGAGGAACAGTGTGAATGTCAGTAGAGGAGCAGTGTGAGTGTCATAGAGGAGCAGTGTGAGTGTCAGTAGAGGAGTAGTGTGAGTGTCAGTAGAGGAGTAGTGTGAGTGTCAGTAGAGGAGTAGTGAGGGTGCCAGTAGGGGAGTAGTGAGGGTGCCAGTAGAGGAATAGTGAGGATGCCAGTTGAGGAGTAGTGAGGGTGCCATTAGAGGAGTAGTGAGGGTGCCAGTGAGGAGAGGGAGTAGTGTGGGGGTGCCCAGTAGAGGGAGTAGTGAGGGTGCCAGTATGGGAGTAGTGACGGTGCCAGTGGAGGAATAGTGAAGTGCTAAGGAGTAATGAGGGTGCCAGTGAGGAGTAGTGAGGTGCCAGTAAGTAGTAAGAGTGCCAGTAGGGGAGTAGTGGGGTGCCAGTAGAGGAGTATTGAGGGGTGCCAGTAGAGGGAGTGGTGGGGTGCTGGGGAGTAGTGAGGGTGCCAGTAGAGGGTAGAGTGAGTAGTGGCCGGTGCCAGTAGAGGAGGGTGCCAGTGAGGGTAGTCAGAGTGGAGTGAGCGGTGCCAGTAGAGGAGTAGTAGAGGAGGGTGCCAGCAGGTGCTAGTGAGCGGGAGTATTGAGGTGCCAGTAGAGGGAGTAGTGAGGGTGCCAGTAGAGTGCAGTTGAGGGAGTAGGAGGGGGTGCCAGTAGGGGAGTAGTGAGGGTGCCAGTTGAGGAGTAGTGAGGGTGCCATTAGGGGAGTAGTAAGGGTGCCAGTAGAGGAGTATTGAGGGTGCCAGTAGAGGAGTATTGAGGGTGCCAGTAGTGGAGTAGTGAGGGTGCCAGTAGAGGAGTAGTGAGGGTGCCAGTAGAGGAGTGGTGACGGTGCCATTAGGGGAGTAGTGAGGGTGCCAGTAGAGGAGTAGTGAGGGTGCCATTATGGGAGCAGGACACCTCCCACAGCTCTATCAACCGACGCAATCATTAGTTCTATCCCTCACGTTTCTATTTCCCGACAGGATATGACAGAGAAACTCTCTGTTCACCCATCCAACTCTTTGTATGTGTATCATTTTTTTTCCAGTCTTTGTCAGTTAACAGTCTGTCATTTGTTAGTGTTTTTCAGTTTGTATTTCATTATCAGTTAGCAGTCCATGTCATTCTTTGTCAGGTTTTCAGTTTTCTCAAATTTTCATTATTTGTCAGTTTGTCAGTCTTTGTCAATTTGTCAGTTTTTCACTCTCTCAGTTTAAAAGTCTTTGTCAATTTGTCAGTCTTTGTCAGTTTAAAAGTCTTTATCAGTTTAACAGTCTTTTTCAGTATTTGTCAGTTTAAATCTTTGTCAGTTATCAGTCTTTGTCAGTTTTTGTCAATTTGTTAGTAGTTGTTAGTTGAACTGTGTTTGTCAGTTTGTCACTCTGTCAGTTTAACAGTCTTTGTAAGTTTGCCCGGTGTAGTTGCTGAATAATGTAGAATATTTTTTGTAAGGTTTGAAGAGTTTCTATAGTATATGCTATCCTGGGATTATTTGGCAGAAAAATTAGAAAGTTATAGTTACTTTCTGCACTTTGGGGAACTGACTGCACGACTCTCATATATTCTAATGTCACACCTAATGATTCAGATATATCTGGAAGTCTTCAGCTTCTAATTGCCTTATTTTGAAAATTATATTCTTGGTTAGGCTGTGAGTACTTCATTTCCAAGAGTACGTTATGATTTAAAGTGAGGATGTTTGTACTAAGAACACATGGCTCCTACAGGATGGTGTTACCGGTGTTGGTAGCTTTGGGAGGGCTCGTGAAGGTCCGCTACTCACACACCCTCGTGGACTCGCAGATCTTCCGCCTTCATTACCGCTGGACCTCCGCCTTCTGTTTCATTAGCTGCGCCCTTGTCACCGCCACCAGTTATGTAGGGGAAACGATCCAATGTCTGGAAGGTCAAAGAGACGCCCCCAAGCCCATTAACACCTACTGCTGGATCTCTTCCACCTTCACCATCAACTCTACTGGTCGTAAGAATCCTCTTTGGCTATTTGTTGAATATCTTGTAGGTCTTTGATCAAAATATTTTTTCATACAAGTGTTCATCACTTATATAAACCTTCTACTGCTGTATAACGGTGCTGCTCCACGAAGGCTTTTTCCACCCGCAGCCAGTATTCCATAGTGTACTTATTTTATTCATGTGTACAAAGGCTTTCAGTCCTCCTCTCAAGCTAGGGATGATCCAGTTTGTTTTGAGATAAGACACTGAGCGTGGTTAAAGCACAATATTACCATATTATCAATGCTCCAACTATTCATAAACAGTCACCAACAAAACTTCAAAAATCTTACAATCTACCCACAAACTTCTTCATAATTAAGTTACCCAAAGAACATAACACCATACAGTAGTGTTCAGTTATCCCAACGATGTTTCTAAAAATCTTGTTAATGTTCACCAAAAATTATAAAGTTAGGGTAAACCTAGTGTTTACACAATACTGTGTAATGATTATCATAAAGTGTATGATGGCCAGACAGGGAAGGACGTATCTGCTAAGTTAACTAAATTTAACGTGTCATAAGAGATGGCAAGATAATTCGGTAGTATGTAAACATGAAAGTGAGTTGGGTCACACTATTAACTGTAATAATGCTATTATAATGTACTGACTGTAGCTTCTGAAAAGAATCAAAATCGTATGGTTTGCTTTCATTGACAAAAATCCAAATTTCAAAATCTTAAGAAGACAATGGTCCTCTAGAGATGAGGGCTGTTCATGAGACCTTACCGCAGTAGGGTGTGTCATAGGAGGGAAGATCAGCTAAAACTAATGGCCCATCACTTTTTTGGTAGATTTTAGTGTATATAAACAGAAAATAATTTCAGTTTCAATATTTTGCAACCTTTTGCTAGGTAAATTTTAGCGTGAAATTTATCGAAAATCTAACGTACAGCTGCATTAGTGCATTACAATTAAATAGTGAACATTGCTTTCTGACTTCATTCTTTAACAACCCAACTAACAATATTTTTTTTCTGTTTCAGATTCTGATGCATTTATAAGTTGATAATATTTGCGATGGCTGCTTGTGTCAGGACGAGGAACCAAAAATCCAGCCTCTCAGTCACTATCTTGGGTCTGGGAGAGAGCTCCTGAAGTCGGAGTTGCCTACATTGAGAGATGCTTTGAGATACGGTGTTTAATCAGGCAAATCAGTGAAAAGAACCAAAGAACTTACACAAACAAAGACATTGCCAGTGATATGACCAAAGCTGTCTTGGCACAGTACACTCTGGCTAACGCTCAGTTCAAGCCTCCAGTCATAACAAGTCAGAAGAAGATTAGTGAGAGACTGCTAGCCAGTTGGGAAAAGACAAGAGATATCTCTTTTGGGAGAGGAAAACTTGCAGTTAAGGACAGCTTTGCCAAGCAACTGGACCAGTTATTTGACATAATTACTTGCAAGTGCCCAATTGTTCTCTGTCCTGAGTTTGGATGCGATCGTGACTGTAAATCCGAGGCCCACATCTCCTGTATTTGCAAGCGTGAACTGAAGATTCCTGTGATCGAACTGGCATTTGTCAAAGCACAGAGAGAGAAGACTGGCAGTATAGGGGCTCTCATGATTTCTAGCCAAGATATTCCGGAGTCCAAGAGACAGGAGGCTGCCACAGAGAGACAGAAGAGGAGAAGAGTTGCCGAGGAAAAGAGACTTGAGAAGGCCCAGGGTGAGGTAAAAAAGGCCGATGATTGGAGTCAAGCTGATTCAGAGTTTAATGACTTCCCATGGCTGATCCGAGTGCTGACCAGGAGAATGGTGACTTTGTCCCTAACCCAGAAAATAATGATCCCAAACCTTCCGGGCATAAGATTCGAAATAGGAAAGATATCCCGAGCATAGCTCTGGCCAGCATGCGACACCACACTGGTCTCAGAGAAACTGCAGAGATAGCAACAGCTGCCTGGATTGACGGTGGTTTGATAACACCTGATGATGTTCACCTGGTGATAGATCATAACAAAGTAAGGAGAGCTCAGGAGAAACTTGTCAGTAACCTAGAAGAGGAGTTTGATAAGGGGATAAGAGAAAATGGAATCAATTGTTTGTTCTTTGATGGGAGAAGGGATGACACTAAAGTGTTCATGAAAGTTGGAGATTCTGACAAGTTGTTCCCTGCCATGGTGAAGGAGGAACACTACTCCTGCTGCAGTGAACCAGGAGGGAAGTATTTGTGGCATTTCACTCCAGAGAAATATGACATCAGGAAACCAGCTGAGATAGTGGCAGATAACATTGTGAACTGGCTCAGAGAGAGGAACGTAGACCAGACCCTGCAGGCCATTGGAGGGGACAGCACCAACACGAACACAGGGTGGCAAGGGGGGGTCATACAGTGGATAGAGCGGAAGATTGGGAGGAAGCTGGTCTGGATTGTTTGTGACCTCCACACCAATGAGTTGCCACTCAGACATGTGATCCAGGAGCTGGATGGCAAGACTCTTTCAAACAACAGATGGTCTGGTCCTCTTGGCAAGATGCTGGACTCTGCCACTGAGTTAGAAATAAATCCGAGCTTTGAAAAAATCACAGTTGGCCCTCCACTCGTTGAGCTTGCACATACTGTCATTGACGACCTGAGTACTGACCAGTACTCTGGTTACATGATTTGCAGTACCATCAAAACTGGGGTCATGCCTGATAGACTTGCTTACCTGCAGATAGGTCCAGTCTCACATTCTAGGTGGCTCACAACGGCTCTCAGGTTCTGCAGAATTTGGGTCGCTCATCATAAACTGAAAGGGAACCAGCTTCACAACCTGAGACTTATTGTCCAATTCATCGTGAGTGTCTACTTGCCAAATTGGTTCAACACCAAGGTCAAGTCATTGTTCTCCGAAGGTCCGAGGCATGTTCTCTTCCAGCTTGAGCTCCTGAGGAGTCAGCCAAGGAAGGTTGTTCAGATTGTGGAGCAGACTGTGAGGAGATCTTCCTGGTATGCTCATCCCGAGGCAGTTCTGCAGACAATGCTCTGCAGTAAGGATGAGGAGGAGAGAAGAGTGGCAGTCAAAAAGATCTTGGATATGAAACTTATGAGAGGATCTGGGCATGACGAATCAGTTGGTGACGATTCCTTCAGGGTCAGGAAGACTCCTGAAGTCAATCTAGGTGCCAAGACCCTCACTGATCTCATAGATCTGGATAACATCCAGGCTGGCAGTGAGCCCCTTCTTACCTGCAGCCTCACCAATGTTCAAGTCAGAGCTTTCCTGGACAACCCCATGCATGTCCCTGCCTGGCCCTCGTACACCCAGAGTATAGAGCGTTGTGTACAGCAAGTGAGCGAGGCCAGCAGTCACGTGTACAGCCAGGAGAGGAGGGAAGGCTACATCCGAGCTCAGGTGGTCAGCAGGGAGGTGATGAGTAGAAACAGAAGCAAGAAAGACATGTTCTCTATGGTGTGCAGCAACACCGAGTCGTAGTAGTAAAACCGGTTTTTCTATTTGATGATTTTGTTTTCTAAAGGAATATTAAATTTAATACATGTGTCAAGATCATTCGTTTCACTATTCTGGATCATTTTCATCCTAATAAATTAACCTGATACATTTACTTTACTTTAAATAAGCTATTTAGTGGTGTTGGTAAAAGGGTGGGAATACTGAATTTTCATAAGATTTCAAGTTAAAATTTACCTAGCAAAAAATGAAAACTTTTCAAATCTGAAGATATCACATGATTCTGCACATAGAACTACATCATTAATACCATGGGCCGATTTTTCAAACTCAAAAAAAAAAAATTCGCCTCCGTATGACATACCCTATTACCGCAGTCCATTGTCTCGTCACAACACTTGATGTCAATGAAGATGACCGTAAATCACGGTCGAAATATAAAATGTTCCTGTGATTTTTGTTTGCTTTATCTTCTACACAATACACTGGGATATATTGTTTGAACACACATACACACACACACACACACACACACACACACACACACACACACACGTTGCTTAAGAATAAGACGAATGAGCAGGCTTAGTATGAAATGAAACAAAACCTAGAATTGCTTTTGCTATCCTTGTAGTGCCGTGGTAGCGATCCCTGCTCAGACGCAGAGGTCCGTGGTTCGATTCCCTACAAGTTTGGTATTGTTTGTCTGCGTGTATATACTGTGTATATATATATAGTGAGTGCGTATTACCTGTAGAGAATAATAAATTAAGGTAAACTGTACATGTTGTCAACTAAATTAAAACTTCTCAAGTTTATATTTATAACATTGTTTTGATCCAGATTTATACCATTGAAACTGTCTCATTAGCAGCAATTATTTATCAATATATTTAGAGGATATAAGTGTAACATATCACGTGTCTCCTCAGTCGCCGCGGGAGTGGGCCTTTACGACCCCAGGTATCACCAGAAACGAGTCCACGCTTATTACCAGTGGGTGGCTTCAGTCCTCTTTCTCCAGGTAAGTGGTGGCCAGAGTCCTCTTCTCACACAGTATACCTGAGACGTGGCACCGCAGTCATTTTCTCGCACATAAGGTTGAAAGTTTTGATAACTCTAATTACAAACTAATCCCTTCAAATCCGTGGTTTATGAGATTATTTTACAACACACACACACACACACTCACACACACATATACACATACACACACACTACTACTACTACGTGGCCTCCAGCCTCCCCCAATAGCCACACCTTTGCCGCCATTTTTTTACCTTAAAATTAAATATCCTAATACATAAGTAGCTACCCTAGCAGTGTTGAGTTAGTTGAGCTGCATATCTATGCGGCATTCAGTGACTGTAGCCTCATAGTCATTATCTGCAACTGTTGTCGGCTTTGGGACTGATGCTCTCGTTCCCCTGAGGCACAGCAAAGCCGACCTAAGGAGAGAGAAGGACAGTCGACATCTCATCCAGGCTGTAACATAACTTCTGGGCTGCTGCTTCTGTTCGGATAGCACCTCCGCGAGTCTGGCATAGAAGCATCTTGCACTTAGTCCCATCCCACCAGAGGTTGTGAACACTAGAGGAGTGAAGCTGCCTTGATCAACGTTCTGAATTCTCTCCCCCGTATGCCCTTATCTTGTCGTTCTCGTTCCTCCTGCGTGAAGCATCGAGAGTTAAGTTACGGTGACATGCGGCCATGGGATCAAAAATCCTGATGTCGAAGAAGGCTCGCTGTCCCAGCGTCCAGAATCCTCGAGCACTGACGTCAACACGGGCTTTGTTGGATGTGTTTGAAGTCTCACCGTCCAATGGAAGGAGGGTTGGTTCTACCCTGACATCACGGCAGATTTCCTTCAACATATTTGCTGTCAGATCCCTTACTTCGTCATGCCTCATGCATATGAAGCCCCCTTTCTTGCACACCATGGCGTGATCGACATCATACGCATTGGGAGGGCAAACCTTCTACTGGCCTACCGTACCTTAGAGCATTGGCATCTGTAAATTCTTGTTTATTGAGACTGAAACCATTTTCCCTTATCGGTAACGTAGTTAACCAATTCGAGGTGCCCACTTCATGTGCTATAGCTACTTTTTTTCAAATTCTCTGGTGCTTGCAGCAATAGTTAATGCAACTTATCACTTTGGCCGTGCTGTCATTCTGTCGTAATGGACCTTCAAATCTTGTTTACTTCACTGGTATCCACCTCCCCTGTTGCGTTCTGAGCTATTATTTGGTCCGTGAGGCCTGCCGTGAGCTTAACTGAGTTTTGATGTTCGGTGGCAGTAATCTCCTCTGGATTGGTCAATCCCATTCCTCCCAGTCGCGGTGGTAGTGCAAGGAGTGATCTTTCTGCTGGGGTTAAGTGAGGGTGTTTCACTAATTTGGGAATGAAATTGACGCTAATAGCTTCTTCCACAGGGTGGAGGAGGGGTCCGATATCAGGGATAGTGCGCATCAGGTACAATAGTTCCAGCGATGCTTGACTCCATGGGTGAATGCCGTAAAAGCCGCATGTGGCTCTGTGTTAGCAATCTCAGACAGAGCTGGGATTTCCCTAACCCACTCATTCACCTTTCTCGTTACGTACTCGGTCTTGAAGTCCGTTGTGCTGATTACTGAGCCTAGATGTCTTTGGCCATCCTTTGTTATTTTGACCTCACTTCCATCGAACACCTCCATTCATAATGTTCTGGCTTCACAATGAGGAAGGACTTGCTGGCATTTGGGTGGTACCCAATTTGTGGCCTCATGATGTTACCAGGTCCCACCACTTTTTGATGTCCTCCATTTTTCGTGGTCCTGTAAGGTCATCAGCGTACGCCACTTGCTTGACCTCAGTTGTTTCAAATTTTATTGTATGTTGGAGCACGGATAGGCCTATTGCATACATTGCCATTGCAACAGGGTCCCCCTGCGTTGTTCCCTCGGTTGACTGTATGATGGAATCACCTCTTAGAGCCTTGTTGTTTACTATATAGAGGTCAGATGGATTCCTATAGGAGTTTTCAACATACATTGCAAAGCTTGGACACTTGATCTTGATATTGTACAGTGCGGCCTTGCGGTTAAGTATGTTGAATGCGTTTGAAGCGTCCACCAGGAGAACATCCTCACAATCACGCTGCTCAAATATCGTTCTCATGGCATGAATGGCAGCTTCCTCTCCAGCCTGGTGGCCAGCACAAACTTGCAGTTTCCCTGCTGCTGCCCTGACATCATCCTTTACCACCTCCAGTATGCATTTTCCGATGATCCGCCTTAGCACTTCCCCCACCCCTATAGGCCCACACTGGATTCTTATTCAGGGGAATGAGGCGGCAGGCAGTCAGAGCATGGAGGTGTTGGCAGCACGAGGATGCCAGCTTTCTTGCAAGGACGCCAATGGCAGTGCAGAGGTCACTTGCTATGGGGCCAAACTTGTCAGTGCTGAGGGTGACTCTCCAACCATTTGCATTCATACCTGAAGGGCCGGCACCTCCTCGAGTCTTCAGTGTCTTACTACTACTACTACTACTACTACTACTACTTTGCTGTCACTTGGAATCGAGTATGACGATCATCCAGCCATGACACAATGATATGCGTTATTTAGGATGTCACTTTCGTTGGTGAGCTCTGATGTGATTCGCGAGGCCGATACGGGATCGCCAGGGCTGTCCTAAGATGTTACACGAGTGGAGAGCTACATCTAGTGTGGGAAGGATGGCGGCAGTGGCTTTCTGGTGCTGGCGCTTGTCTGCCTCGGTATGCAAGCAGGCTAACTCGAAAGTACTGACACCTACTTGTGCGGCGCTCCTCCAAGCGTTACGGTGTGGATTGATCGTCTCCCAGGTGAGAGGGTCGATTTGGCACTTTTCTGGTTTCTCTTAAGACTATCTTTATATCTTTTCCGCTGTCCGCCAGCGTTACGTTTATCATTCGTTAGGTGACTGAAAAGTAGCTGCTTGGCAGTCTACTGTCGTTCATGCGGGTAACAAGGCCAGTTCAATGCAGTTGTTCATGGATAATGGTAGCCTCAATGCTCCTACAGATGGTGTCAGTGAGAATAATGGCATTTGTTCTCTTGTATTCCCGGATAACTCGGATGATGGAACGTAGACTACGTTGGTGATAGTTTTCAAGTGCCTTCAGGTGCCTCCTATATGTGACCTATGTCTCGCTGCCATACAGCAGGGTGGGGAGGACCATTGTTCGATAAATGTGCAATTTTATAGATACTTTCAGCTCCTTACAGCTAAAGACAGAGATACGGAGTCTACCAAAGACTTGAGATGCACATCTGATCCGATGTTGAATCTCTTCATCGATGTCCGCGGTGGTGGCCAGGTGGAAACCAAGGTACTGGAAGTGGGTAACATTAGAGAGGGTAGTACACGGCCGTCAGTGCCAGTGTGCATATACATCTGCATAGGTGTTCACGATCTCTTGTAGGTCGAGTTCAGTGTGAGCGACGAGGGTGATGCCGTCTGCATACAGAAGTTCTGTGATGGAAGCGGCCGACACCTTTGTTCCTGCCTGGAGTCGTGTTTTATTGAAAAGTCCCTTCATCCGGTACTGGATGTCTACCCCGCCGGCTAAGTTGGCACTGGCACGAGTAAGGAAGGCAGCCAAGAAAATAGAAAAGAGAGTTGGTTTCAGTACACATCATCGTTTTACCCCCGTTTGGATGGGGGAGAACTGAGACTGGATCTCATTGTCCATGCCATTGTGAAGTTGCCTCACAATGGCCTTAGTAAGGTCAAAGAAGGCCATGTGCAGGTCACGACCCTATTCTATTCACCTTTCCTGTACCTGGCGGGCAGCAAAGATAATGTCAGTGGTGCCAAATGATGGTCTAAAACCACATTGAGATTCTGGGAGGAAGTTTTCCGCTTCAGGAAGTAATCTGTTCAGGAGGACTAGGGCGATAATCTTGCGAGCTACGGAAAGCAGTGAGATCCCGCGGTAGTTGCCACAGTCTGAGCGGTCTCCCTTGTTCTTATAAATATGACGATCGCCTCGATCTTGGTATATTTCCTCCTTCTCCCATACATTCTCCAGGAGTGAGTGGAGACAGCTGGTAAGCAGAGGCCCTGTGGCTTATTTTTCTTCTGCTTGATGGCGGAAGCTACCTCATCCAGGGATGGAGGATAGCTGATGTGGGTCAGCTCTGGGTGCTCAGGATCCTGCTAGGTAGTCACGACATCCACATCGGTGTTTCGGTTGAGTAGCGATTGGTAATGCTCTTTCCAGCGCTGACAGATGCTTTCTTCGTGTTTAATTAGGGAGTTACCGTCGGGTAAGTGGAGGGGAGCCACGTCATGAGTAGTTGGGCCATATATTGTTTTAGCAGAATTGAAAAATTCACGCATCTTATGCTGATCATCAATTTTTTGCATTTCACACACAATAGTTTGTGAAGTTCGCGTTGGACCGCCGCTTTCTGCTCGTGGAAGGTATCAGCTTTGGTCCGAGACTTAGGGCTGTCCTGACAGTCAGTGAGAGCAGCACTTTTACTATTGACGAGTACTTCTATTCCAGATAGTCTTCATCAAACCAATCATTGTGTTCTATTTTGATCTGGCCGATGTCTCGTCGCAGGTTTTTGTGATGACAGCTTTGATGGGACCCCATCCGGCGCTAGGATTTTGGTTGTTTGTTGTTGGGTTATTTCTCAGCCCCTGGTTGAGCTGCTCTCTGATAGCATGTGCTACCACTGGATCGTCTAGTCGCTTGGTGTCAAAGCCTCTTCTGGAAGTTTGTTGCCTTCGCCGTTTTGGGGGGAGATGTGAAGGGAGAGTTTGGCTCCGAAGAGCCAATGATCTGTGTCACAGTGGTCTGCACCACGCATGGCACATGTGCAGGCCTATAGCTCTTCTTAGCTCCTTGGCTAGTGAGTACACTCAAAGAGGGTTGGACGAATACTGCCAGCTAGAGGCATCCCGAGCCCTATCTAATGGTTGTAACAACGCAAAACTTGTTGTGCCCCACACACATCTGGCGAGGTCACAGGTCGGGCAATGAGTTGAGAGGTACTGCCGTATGTTATCGTCTAGGCTAGGACCTGGGCTGTGGAGCCATCGTCTCCTCCTTAATGCACAACACCACTTTTCTCGTTACTCTTATCACCCTCCCATAATTGCAATAACACTGCGTGCGAGGACGGCGATAACACCAATATTCAAACTGAAGTTGTTTTGGGGTGACATAATGGGATCACACGTTTCACCACTCACCTCCCTTAAGTGACAACCGAATTCTACCCCTACGTGTGAGTGTGTCTGTGTGTATGTGTGCGCCCACCCTTTATTTATATTTATTATATTTCATATGTTGGTATTATCACATTTTCCATCCATGAATGTTATTTATTAAACCCATTAGTGTACAGATGTCTATATTCTTCCTCCTTATAGTATCATAAAGTACGTCAGTTTGAAGCAGGACTTCAATTGCTGTAAGCTACTATTAAGGACGTCTCTTAGGATGTTACCTACTGACCCCATGACTAAGTAGCATAATAGTTACTTTCTATTGTACAGGGCTGCCTCTTCTACCTGCCCCACATGATATGGAAGTTCTATGAGGGCAAACAGGTGGACCATCTGCTGCAGGACCTCAACAAGAACCTCTTTGACGATGATGCTGAGAAGAAGAAGACAAATATTGTCTCGTAAGTTGATGGAATCAGTGTAGACCCTGAGTGTTGCTGTACCTCAAAGAGATACAAAATTTAACAGCTGAGAAAAAATGCCCCGCCCTCTCCTCAAGAGTTACAGCTGATTGGCTGTTGCAAACCTGTCCGATTTTGTCCTGAGTAATGATGTATTTCAAAATGAGTTTATTCATAATGACCGTTTCTGACGAGAAAGATATTTAACAAAATTATATAAAGATACATACCTTCATTATTTCAAACAGGAGCCACCTAGGAAGTTTATCAGAAATATTATACGTGAATTAACTGATAAACTCGGGTAATCAAATTTACGCTTTCGGAGGATGCATTTGATATATACTTATTTTTACCCACAATAAGACATACTAAGACAAATTACATTTCAGTAATATTACATTATGCAAAAACTAACATTTTAAAAGATCAGAATCACATTGAAATATTACTCGACCGTTAGCAGAGGCGGGAAAATATGAAGTACAGTGTAGTTCGCAGTCATATTTCATAGGTGCTCCATTGTTTTCCCTTTTTCTTGTGTGATTTTATCAAGATTTATCTTATCCACCACGTTTTCACTGTGGATCTACTTGATATATATATATATATATATATATATATATATATATATATATATATATATATATATATATATATATATATATATATTTATTTATTTTTTTTTTTTTTACGGGGATTAGCCCACCCGGGCACAGTTCACTGACCCACATCGGGGCCTGGGGGGCGAATAATAAATATAATAATAATAATAATAATAATAATAATAATAATAATAATAATAATAAAGAACCATAAAGAAAAAAAAAAGATCAGAAGTGAGAAACAATATATGTATGTTGTGTTGTCAAAGTAAGAGAAACAATTGAGACCCTGAAATTGTGTGTAAATGAGGCAGAAAGTCAGATCAGCAACCTGGGACTTGGTCACAATTTTTGTGATGCCATATGGCAACAGTGTATACCATTAGACAACACATTATGCTTCCAATATCTTCCCGGGCGGTAGTACCTCACTGTTTTGTAGCTGCCTAATACCTATAGTCCATGTGGCGCGGTAGTAGTGATCCCTGTTCACACGCTGAGTTCAAGGGTTCGATTTCGGACTATCTATATATATATATATATATATATATATATATATATATATATATATATATATATATATATATATATATATATATATATATATATATATATATATATATATATATATATATATATATATATTTATATAATGTAGATCCACAATGGAAACGTGGACAAGATAAATCTCGATAAAACCACACAGGAAAAGGGAAACACTGGAGCACCTTAGCTTTCGTCCTTAATCAAGACATCTTCAGAGGCAACTGAATTTATAGGGATCCACTAATCCACACACCACCTCCACCGCACACGAAAGAAGAGCGTATAAAAAAAATGAGCGACGTAACAAGTAAGGTAAAGTCAGGTCAAAAACTTGAGACCAACTAATCATCTATCCTACATCTGCCTCAAATGCTATCAAAGCATTTTTAACCTTGGGCCACTGACAAGTAAATTTATGTAACATATTATCAGTTTTGTACTGACCATCACTAAGGTTTATAGAATTCATTTCCCTAATCAGATTTGCTTCAACCAGAAGTTTTTCTGAGACACAATTTGATTTAAACACTTTTATACTGTTTTCCCAATCCATGGGATGATTATTGTTCCTAATATGAACGAAAAGTGCACTGCTTTCAGATGCTGTTGTAGTATTATACTTGTGTTGTTTTATTCTAAGTTGTAATGCTTTCCCAGTCTGACCAACAAAATTTCCATTGCAATTGCTACATGGAACACAGTAAACACTTCCATTAACATTCAAGGTTGAACTGTTCTTTATGAACATACTAGTAATAGTTGAGTCGCACTTAAAAGCAACATTAATTTTCAATAATTTAAGGGATTGGACTAACGGGGCAAATTCCTTACGATAAGGTTGAGTTAAAATAGTCTTAAATGTAGGAACTTGTCAAGTATGAGTACATTTGTACAATATAGGGAATTTTTAACCTTTTTAAGACAACCTATCAACAAACAATGAAGGGTAGCCAAGTTTTTGTGAATGAACTGAATGTGGTGCAGTTCTTCTTCAACAAATTCAGAGTCACAAATTCACAAACATCTCAAAAACAAAACAGAAAAACTTATATTTGTGTAGACTCATGGGGACTCGATGAAGTTTTTTTGAAACTGTCTACCTGTGTAGGCCTTCTGTACACCTTAAATTTGTAATTGTGACCATTTCTCATGAGAAGCATATCGAGGGAAGAGATCCATTTGTTTCTCTTTCAATTTTGAAGGTAATACTAGGGACAAGATCAATAAGCTTGTCCAAAAATTCCAGTGGGTCACTGTTTCTAGGCCAAAGACAAACAATATCACCTACATATCGATATCATGGAGGAATAAAATCACCTATGTTGGGTAGTAATATTGCTTCAAAAAATTCCATATAAATTCAGGCTAAAGGAGCAGAAAGATAATTACCCATGACCAGGCCAAATATTTGCTTGTAGGACTTTCCATTTACCCTAATCACATTACCAGTAACGCATAACTCTATCAATTTGAGAAATATGTCATGTTCAGTTGTCAAATCTAACATTCAATTTATCGTTTTAATGAATAAAAGCAGGTCATTCACTGGTACCCTCGTGAAAAGTGAATTGACATCAAAACATATTAACTCACATGGTTCATTTGTGTTTCTTGAGTTTATCAATTAAATCACTGCTGTTATGTATATGCCAATTAGATATCTGGCCTGTGAGAAGGGGAAGCATCCTAACCAAAAACATGGAAAAATTTTAAGTAACAGAACCAACAAAACTTACGATAAGACGTAAAGGATTGTTAGGCTTATATGTTTTGATCAATCCATATATATAAGGTAAAATGGGATTGATTTATGAGAACTGTTTGATGAGATCTGGGTTGATTTTCAATAACTCCTTCATTTTAGAATTAGATAACTTATTAACATTTTCCAGGGGATCTTTTCTAAGCTCACAATAAGTGTTTTCATCAATTAGTAAAGAATTCATCTTATCATTATAATCGTTTTCATCCTAAATAACAATAGCATTGCTCTTATCAGCCTTAATAATGTGGATATTCGCGTTACTTTTCAAGTTTTTCAAGGCTGTTTCAAATCTTTTTGGAATGTTTGAAACCATTTCCTTACGTAAAACACTATGTATACAACCTTTGGCAATGGAAATATCTTCATTTGTGACATCTATCGACTTATTTTTTTGCAGTTTGATTATACCTTTAGCAATTGTAAGTGGATTAACGGTGCGCTGAGCAATAGAAAACTTCCTACCAAAACCAAGCACAAGATTCTCATTTGTCTGTAGTTCTTATGATGATAAATTTATGAACAAAATTTGGATCACTCAATTAAGTCGAGTAATTCTCGTCAAACAAAGCATTTAATTTAACATTGTAGATGTATAAAGGTATTAACAAGGTAGTAAAAGTCACCTCCTGCATCACCAGCTACCTGAAGCTCTCGTCGGGTCTCAACATCCACTACTCCGTCGGGTACTTCTTGTGTGAGGCGTTGAACCTGGTGAACGTGGTGGGCCAGATGTTCCTGATGGACGCCTTCCTCGGAGGGTTCTTCATGAAGTACGGCAGCAAGGTCAGCTTCTTGTGTTATCATGGTCTTGATGATCATCACTTGCGGTGACACATGTTACAAGCTTGTGTGACTGTGGAGCACGTCAGGTATTGTTGGTTGCTTGCCAGGACCCCCAGGAATCCCCCCCCCCCCCAAAAGAGATGTTAGTATCACAGAGGAATCTTTTTACTAGATGGGTGGCGCCAACTCTTAGTGAGTGGTTATGGAGGGGTACTGACTGCGTCGTTAAGGGTCAACAAAACGAACACAATAGAACAAATTAAAAAAAAAAAATCTACTTTCGGCAGGAAGATTTGTTATTACCACTTCTAACTTTTCAACAGACTAACTAACTTCATAACCTGTCTTATAATACTTAACTTTATAACTTTCTAATGAACTGATTTTACAACGTGCTTACCGGACTAATGACCCAGAATCTGCTTTTCCAGGCGATAAGCTTCTTGGCTGCTGACGACGCCAAGAGGAACGACGCCTTGTTGGAGACTTTCCCGAGGATTACCAAGTGTATCTTCCATACATTCGGGGCCTCCGGTGCCATTCAGAAGAAGGACGTGCTGTGCGTCCTCCCCCAGAACATTATCAACGAGAAGATCTTCCTGGTGATGTGGTTCTGGTTCATCATACTCACCATCCTCACCATTCTGCAGGTGAGGGAGAGTGAAATGGTCAGGAAAGTGAGATAGTGAGAGAAAGAGGGGGATTGTAGGGGGGTAAGAAAGGTGAAGAGAGTGAGAGGTATGGTGAAAAATAGAGAGTTGTGGTGAAAGGGATAGGGATGGTGAGATGAGGAAGAGGATTGGTGAAAAGGAGAGAAAGATAATGAAAGAAAGAGAAGGATGGTGAGAGAGAGAGAGAGAGAGAAAGATGTATGGCGAAGAGGAGAGGAGAGAGGAGTAGTCAAGGGAATGGTAATGGAGGGAGGAAGGGTGAGAGAGAAAGAATGATGATGAGAGAGGGTTAAAGAGAGAAAGAAAGAGGGAGACTTAGAGGATTAGGGAGAAAGATAGATAGAGAGAGAGAGATAGACATAGAAAGTGATGGTGAGTGGAGTGAAATATAGTAAAAGAGAGGGGGGTTTGGTGAGAGACACAGAGGAATAGTGAGAGAGAGAGAGAGAGAGACAGAGAGAGGATGGTGAGAAAGGAGGATGATGAGAAAGGAGGATGGTCCTTCACTTTTTGATGCTGTTAAAACTTCCTACTTTCTTAACTGCGCTGCTTTCAGTGACATTTTCTATTCTTAACATTAATGATGTGACTACTTTCTAATCTTAATGTTACGACACTTTTTACAGTCTCAACTTTAATGGTGTAACACTCTCTAATTTGAACCTTAATGATGTTAAATATTTCTCACTCTTGACCTATAAATTATAGATTATTTTACATTTTCTAACTTTTCATGCTCTATCACTTTTTGGGGGTCTGTACCTTCTTATTCACATTTACAATTCCAGCCCCGTAATATTCTTTTTCTTAACCTCACCACCAGCTTGCGTGGCGCCTGGTGGTGTTCTACAGCCCCTCGCTTCGTATTCGTCTGCTGGAGCACCGGGCCTTAATGAACTTCTCGCCCCGAACGGAACACGCCGTACGCCGTATGCACCTGGGAGACTACTGTCTCCTTGATGGCATTGGACGTAATCTAGGCACACTCAACTTCAAGGCAGTATTACAGGGCTACACTGAGGCATCTGAAGAGATTGATGATGTCCCCAGCGCTCCATCTCTTGGCGCCTACCGTACCTTTACCACCCCTAACGAGCCTGATACGCTCCCTCGCAAGCGTCCATTGTATCAGGATACTACCCTGTAGGAACATGTGGCTCCCAGTATAACTATATCCTATTACACTGTATCACTCTAAGCTTCTTAGGGATGTACACATTATAAAAAACCTGCGAGATATCTAGTTCTTTTTTTATAATGTTATTTTATATATGCTCTTCAATGCTATTTAATGTTATTATTCAACGTTATTTTGAAGTGAAACAATCATGTAAGACACACAACAGGGTCCTGGGGTGTTGTTGATGTAAGTCTGTAGAAACTATAGATGGACGTCGTCCTCAAGGCGAACCTAGTACACATGTTCTTCTGTAAGTACGTTGTTTAGCTGCATACACACAAATACCCACATGAGCTCGTTGACATGCAAATAACTCTAAAGTGTGAAAATATTACCTTCGTGTACTTCACTTTCATTGTTGGAACGTACAATACACGACCTTAGCCAGGCATCAGTCATCACTGTACACTCGCACCAAAAAGTATCGGTGCATGGTAAGATCGACGACTTCCGAAACGATATGTATACACTGTGATATGTCGGGAAGGTTGGTAAGTGCATCCTCATAACCCTCCCCCCACTAGGTGTTGCCATATAGCTGACAATCAGTGTGTTTGTTTCCTCTTTTCGGATTGTTGTTTTGTGTCGACTGAATGATGATCGAGGGTTCGGTCTCGGTGAACGTGGGTATAAAACAGAGGCAATATGAAGCAGTAGAGATCTACACATGCCAGACGACATGGAAACCTCAGAGGGAACACGAGGAGCTATTAATGCCCTTCATAACGAAGGGTTCTGCGTCACAGATATTAGCCGGCGGGTTGGTGTCCATAGGAACACCGCTGCACGATGGATTCGGTGATACCTCGAAACTGGCGCTACAGACGACAGGTCTCGGAGCAGCCGTCCACGCTGCACCACCCCTCAGGACGACAAGGTTGAGTGGTTTATTTGGTAGTGTCGCGATCCCACTACTCTTTATACTTGGGGAGTGAATCCTACCCCAAGTTATTAACAAATAAAGGTACAAACAGGGAACACGGCAATAATTATCTCCACCAAATACCTACTCAACTAAATGTACTTGAAAAAGTAAGAACAGTTGAAATAAGTGAATTACAAAATGGAAGATAATTAATTAATTCAATTTATGTTTTAAAGGGAGTAATGATTAGCAAACATGAATTTAAGTGAATAAGTAATTGTATCATAAAATAAGAGTGATGCCGGAAGGGCGAAACTATACTGTAAGGAGTTAGACCAAACAAATATTACTTAACATTACTATATTACACAAGACATACGAAATATATATATACAACAATCAATACAAAATGATTATCCCTACCAAACAGGAGATACCTTACCACCAGGATCCCTTCCTAGGCCTAACTAAACGTGTCACTAATACCTGATACCCCTAGGGCATTGCAGAAGACTTGATAAAGCACTTAGACAAAGGTCAAGGCTAGAGAACGAATAGACACGTCTAATCTAAGCCACGGATTTTTCGCTACTGGGGAGCGTGGCGTGGGTACGCCGTGGAGGAGCGTCTCATATCACGTGATCTAGACATTTGCTGGATATTTTATATAATTAATTAATATTACTCTTGAGTTGACTTAACAGAGTAAGACAATGATGCATATAAATTACATACATAAATATACAATTAACCTAAGTAGCTAAGAACAATAATAATATAATAAGTACAATTAACAAATTATTAGTAGCTTGTGTGAAATGGAAGCGTGAACAGATGCAGCGAGTTGCCGAGCGCTCAGGCACGTGACACCTCCCCCAAAAAAGTGAGCTTACAACTAACTGGAAGCGAAAATGGATATACAGCTACACAGTGAAAGTAATAACTAACACAATTGGTTTAAATCAATATGAAGCAAAATAATTCATAATATAAACACAAGGTACTCAATGACAATAAAACAAAAAATTAATTTGTATATAGACATAGTTACTAAATAATCAGACTCGAGAAAGTGCATCAGCCAACACGTTCTCTTTTCCGCGGATATGGGAAATGTTCAAGTTATAGGGCTGAAGTGATAGAGCCCACCTCAAAAGTCTTTGGTTGGTATGTTTCATCTTGTCAACAAAAGTAAGTGGGTTATGATCAGTGAACACTTGAATGGGATAAGCAGTGCTGCCAATATATACTTTGAAGTTTTCTAGTGCCATGATCAGTGATAAAGCCTCCTTTTTGAATGGTGGCATAGTTTCTTTGATATTTATTAAATTTTCTAGAAAAATAGCACAGCGGATGAAGCACGTGATCACTCTCACCCTCTTGCAGAAGCACAGCACCGGCGCCAATTTCACTGGCGTCGACATGGAGAGTGAACTGTTTCTGGAGGTCAGGTGCAAGTAGTACAGGAGCATTTGCCAGCAGGGATTTAAGATTCTCAAAAGATTCCTGGCAAGCCGTAGTCCACTTGAAGGTTTTCTTGCCACTCAGCAGGTCAGTCATGGGAGAGGCAACTGAGGAGAAGTTTGGACAAAAACGGCGGTAGTACCCCGCCATACCCAGCAACCTCATCACACTCTTCTTATCGCCTGGCACTGGATACTGTTGAATTGCCTCAATTTTGGCTGCTATAGGCTGGACTTCCCCTTGTCCGACCACATGCCCCAAGAAAGTGACGTGGGCATGGCCGAACTCAGTTTTGACGAGGTTCACCGTCAGCTTGCTTGCAGCCAGTACGGAGAAGAGGGCTTGTAGACGACTCATGTGATCTTCCCAGGAACTGCTGAAGACGATAAGGTCGTCTAGGTAACAGCGGACACCTTCCAGACCAGACGTGATGAAATTCATGAGGCGTTGAAAGGTTGCAGGGGCGTTCCGCATACCAAACGGAAGGACTGTGAATTGGTACAACCCCTCAGGAGTGACAAAAGCAGAGATGGCCCTGGAGCGTTCAGTCAGTCTTATCTGGTAGTAGCCCTGGAGGAGATCCAATTTGGTCACGTACCTTGCCTGTCCAAGATCGTCGATCACATCGTCGATGCGTGGCAAGGGATAACCATCGGGTTCAGTGACGGCATTTACCTTGCGGTAATCCACACACAGCCGCATTGACCCATTCGGCTTTGGAACTAGAACAACAGGGGATGCCCATGGACTGATGCTGGGTTCGACGAGGCCTAGCTCTTGAAGACGCTGTACCTCGGCTCGCACACACTCCCGCTTGAAGGCATTAAGACGGTAGGGACGCTGTCGGATTGGCTTGGCTCCCCTTGTCTCAACGTCATGCTCCAGCACTGAACAAGAGAGTGGGTAATCACCAACTATAATAAGATACTCCTGTAATAGAGACTTTATATTATTGGCTTGGTCACTAGAGAGATGACACAACTTAGCACTGGGGTCCTCCAAGATAGTCGAGTTTTCAACTTTTACACTAGACCCATTCATTATTTCAGAAAAACACTGATCTTTATCATCCTTACACTCTGGCACAATGATACAATTTGGCAAGGATTGATCAACACAAGCAACTGCTTTTCCCAGGGTTTCGTTACGAACGTGATATGACTTTAAAAGATTGACATGGATAAGGCGTTTTTTCTTACGCCGTTCAGGGGTGCTAATCACATAATTCACGGACCCCTGTTTTTCTAGTACTTCATATGGACCACTGTATTTGGATTTAAAAGGGTGATCATGTAAGGGCAGGAAGGCCAACCCCTGCTCCCCAACTTGGAATTCTCTAGGTTTTGCCTGATGGGCCTTATCAAAATGCAGTTTCATTTTCACCTGAGCACACCTTAAGTTGGACTGGGCAAGTTCTACAGCCAGACGCAACTTCTCCTTGAATTGGACCACATATGAAGCTAAGGGCGTCGCGCTCTGATCACTCAACCAACACTCTTTTAACACCTTAAGAGGCCCTCGCGCCTCATGTCCATAGACGAGCTGGAAGGGCGAGAATCCTAGCGACTCTTGTTTACTGTCCCGAACAGCAAACAAAAGCAGGTCAACTCCCTCGTCCCAATCCTTCCCAGTCTCCAGACAGAAGGTGCGCAACATGAGTTTTAGTGTCTGGTGAAACCTCTCTACCACCCCCTGTGACTGAGGGTGATAGGCCGAAGACCTCAACTGCCGGACTCCCAGGGTTTGCATTACCTGATTAAACAACCGGGAAGTAAAATTGGAACCCTGATCTGACTGCACCACTGTAGGAAGGCCTACTTGAGTGAAGAAGTGGGTTAAGGCTTTGATAACATTCTTCGCTGTGATGCGGCGCAAGGGAATGGCTTCAGGATAACGGGTTGCACAATCAATAATGGTTAGCAAGAACTGATGACCACGAGGGGTCTTAGGTAAGGGACCGACACAATCTATGACCACCTTACTAAAGGGCTCTTCAATGACTGGGATAGGCTGCAGAGGGAATGGTTTAACACTGGGGTTCGGTTTCCCTGCTACCTGACAATCATGGCAAGTGCGACAGTAAGAGCTGACGTCTTTCTTCATCCTAGGCCAAAAGAACTGGGATAAAATTTTTGCATAAGTCTTCCTAACTCCTAAATGACCACCCACCCCATCATGAGCGATACTAAGTATGTCCTGCCGCAAAGGTTTGGGAATAACAACTTGATGATGAACTAACCAAGGGTGATTGGCAGGAGAATTGGAGGGACGGAACTTCCGCATTAATACACCAGACCTAGTGTAGTAGCAATTTGATTCTTGCTCAGCTTCTGTCTCAGTGACTGACCTATTGAGAAAACCTACCAGCTCAGGATCCCCTGCTTGTAGCTCAATAAACCTACTCCTAGTGATGGGAGAGGAACCAAAACTAGTGACATCTGGGTTCCTATCTCCATCAGAACTACTCTGGAGGTTACCTGGTGGTGGGGAATCCTCAAAGAATTCACTGAGACCAAGATCAGTATGGTCCGGCTGAACAAGATTATCCTCGGACTTCTCACAGTCCTGGAGGGAAACTTCATCAACTTCACTAGTCTCTTCTACTTCTGTACTGCGGCTCATGCTACGGGTCACAGCACACGCAGGGAACAACCCTGGAAAGTCTACTTCTAACTGCACAGTATTATTCTCGGCAGTGGGACAAGATGAGATCACAACATTAGGGAACATCATGTCACCAACAAGGTCATTTCCTATCAATAGAGAGACCCCTTCTACAGGTAAGCTATCTACTACTCCTAACGTGACATAACCTGACTTTATGGATGACCGCAGGTACACTTGACAAAGGGGAATACGCGACCCACCGGTCAAACCGTTCACAAGCACCCAGCTACCAGTATAGCATGAATCCAGGAATGGAGC